GCCAGTGGTTGAGCTGAGGCTTGATCCTAGGTCTCCAGACTCCCAGGACAGCCCTGTTTCTGCTTACGGGGGAACAAGGATCCACCCAGTAGAGCGCATAGTCAACACGCATGAGGCATATTCTCTCCAACACCTCTGAGATAGTTTCCAGAGTCCGTGTGCTCTTAGGTGCCATGTACGGAGAAGGCCCTCCCACAATGCCCTGGATTCGGATGCCCGGTATCATGGCCGCCACCGGGTCCCACCTGCTGACGTCCTCTTCTCCCCTAGGCTGTCTGTGACAATCAACAGGAAGAAGAACATGGTGGTCTCCTTTGGAGATGGGGTTACTTTTGTGGTCGTCCTGCACCAGGTGTGGAAGAAGCATCCTGTCCACCAGGACTTCCTGGGCTTCTATGTGGTAGACAGTCACCGGATGTCGGCACAGACACATGGGCTGCTGGGTATGGAATGTTTGAGCTTCACATTGTTCAGGACTCATGGCAGAGGGGGGAAGCCACATGAAAGATTGTCCCAGTCACTGCAGACCCAGTGCGCAACACCCAGTCAGCCTTTGCATCAGCCCCGGAAGGCCAGTGGCCGTGGGACCTCTGGCGATGGCCGGGGCTCATAGCATGCAGGGGCTGACAGCATGAATGGTTTTTGTTCCCAGGACAATTCTTCCATCCCTTTGACTTTGAAGTGTCGGACATCCGCCAAGGCTCCGACCCCACAAAGCCAGATGCCACCATGGTGGTGAAGAACCATCGACTGACGGTCACCAGGTGAGGGGACTCCACTGGCATCCTCCCCCTGCCCAGGAACAAAACAGGAGGAGAGAGCCCTCTCCGTCCACACACATTGGCCCGGCAGGCTCTTGTCTCCTGTGGGGTACCTACCCTTGTTTCCCTCCAGGGTCCTGGGCCCCCTCTAGGCCCCTCCTAATCAGGAAAAGGCCAAACTCGGCCCCCTAGAAGGAGTTAATCATTTGATCTCTTCCTTGTCCAAAGAGTTCTGGACTCTTAGAATTAGCAACCTCACACCCCTTTCCTGCCTTAAGTCCATGAGCCTAGCAGCTGTCTGGTCCACGCTGTGTGTCACAGGGTCTCTTCCCTTTTTCCCAGGGGCTCCCAGAAAGACTACAGGAAGGATGTCAGCTTCGGCACCAAGGTCGCCTGCTGGTTCGTCCACAACAACGGGGAAGGGTTGATTGATGGTGTCCACAGTGACTACATCATCCCCGAGCTGTTCTGAGTTGACATGCCCACCCCTGCCGAGATGGCTGGCCCAGCTCGCCTGGCACCTGGAACGGGCCCAGAGCAGGGCCTGAGGGAGGGCTGTGACAATAAAGCCCAAGGGGACACTGCCACCAGCCTCTGCATGCCTCTATGAGCCCCTGCTCCAGGGAACAGGCCGTTGGGCCCCGAGGTAGCTCCAAAGAGGGGTTGGCTGCTAGGAAAGTAACTCTCTGGGCTTCCGCACTGATGGCGGTGAAAGACAGGGTTGGCTGGGGTGACACTTTGGGGAGCAAAATGTATGATGGTTTGGGAAGGAAAAAGCCAAGAATTGACTCTGGTGCGAAGGGGTTCTGAGAAGTCGAGAAGGGTTGAATGCATTCCAGAGTCCAGGGGGGTAGTAAGAAAAGTCAGGGGTCTTGGCTCAGTGCTCCTATCAGGCCCCACAGGCCTGAAGATCTTTCTATGATGCAGAAGCAGAGAGTGCTCTGGAGCAGACCTAGCCTGCAGCTCATTACGGATGTCATTCATTCCTCCATCTTCCCCTTAGCTAGCCAGCCACCCCCCTCACCCATCCCCTAGCCAGCCAGCCCCCACCATCCACTAGCCACTCCCCATCCACTAGTTACCCACGCCCCCCACCCACTAGCCATCCAGCCATCCCGCAGATAAACCGAACATTCTGATTCTGGGCCAGAATCTGGGGGCACACAGCTTAGTAACCTGGTTACTCTTTGCGTGGGTGCCCCAAGTTTGCCAGCAGCTTTTCATCCTTCAATCACAGCTCATGGTGACCACCAGCTCCACCCCCACAGTAAGTCCTGCATGGGGTCGGGGGTCAGACAGAGATTCCCGGAGGAGGGGCTCTGAGGGCTCTCAGCCTAGACAACCCTCTCCCATCAGGACAACTGCAACACCCCTTCCTGGGTCTCCCTGCTTCCACAGAGGGATTCTGTAGAGCAGAGCTGACCGTCAGTCCCTGCCTAAAACCCTCCAAATAACACCTCCCACCCACTGATCTTGGATTAAAGGCCAAAGTCCTACCTAGGGCCTCTCTCGCTTCACCAACCCCACACACCAGGTGTTTCCCCTCACTTTTAGGGTTCCAGGCACACGGACTGCTCCCAGTTCTGCAAACCTAACCCCTCCCGCCCCAGATCCTTTGGCTCTGCTGTTGCCTCTGCCTGCGGGGCTCTGGGCAGGCTGTGCAGACGGCACCCGCTGAAGGAAGCTGTGGGCAGCTCTGTTTGATGACAGAGCAGGACCACAACCTCCTGGAAGAGGCTGGGGTTGGATGGAGAATGGCAGCAAGTGCCAGCGGAGGGTGGGATCTGGCGACGGGTCCCCAGGAGATTCCCCTACCTCCCAGTCCAGGGGCCCATCTGCCTGAGCCAGAGCAGGGTTTCCCAGGACCTGGGGGCCTGGAGGAGGGCCCTGGGGAGGCTGGTCCAGGAGAACACATAAGGCCCCGCCACCCTTTCGGTCCCGGGTTGACTGAGGAACCAAGGAACTTTAAACCAGTCAGTTCTCACATCCGTAAAATGGGGAGAAAGATCTTGCCGGAGGGTGTGAAGACATCATCAGCAGTATGGTTTCTGATCCTCCTGAGGTGCCTGTCTTTGCCCTGTGCACCCAGGTAGCCCCCGAGCCCAGTGAGTTGGGAGGAAGGCAGGAGGTCCCCAGGCAAGATTCTGCCCCTTCCCCGCAACACACAGTCAGGGAGGCCCTCCACACTGGCAAAAACCCGGTGGGCTGCGTCCTCTCCCCAGTACCGGCGTCATCCTGACTATACCCGCCCCTGCTTCCGGCCTCTGGTGCCTCCCCCGGCTTTCCGGAGAGAAGCCACACTCCCCGGCAAGGCGCACACAGCCGGGGCTGGCTGGCCTCGGCCGGCTCTTCCACCGCTCCAGCGTCCACCTCCGCCTCGCCCCCGTGGCACCGCCTTCCTCCACTTTCCCTGAACTCAGTGCGCAGCGTTCTGGCTCTAGGCCTGGTGTCCTTGCCCTCCATTTCCACTGGGCTAACTTCTCTTTATTCCTCAAAATGCAACCCCAACCACGCCACTTCCAGGAAGCCTTCCCTGATATTCCCCAGGTTGGACAAAATGTCTCCCCCTGGGCTCTTTGTTCTCTGGGTGGCAGCGGTCACAGTAGGCACCGTGTCTCCCGTGGTACCCGGTGTACCCAGCACCCGGCCCAGAGCCTGGCCTAAGTGAGTAGCTGGAAAGCACTCAGGGAACAAAACAGTGAAGGGCACGGAGCTCCTTTCAACTGTTCTCAGAGAACACCTGCTCTGTAAGTGCTCTGGGCCGGAAAGTCACCCATGACCCCTCTGCTGGGGTGCCAGTTCCACAGCCCAGCCCAGGTGGTGGGGTCCCGGGGGGGTGGTTTGGGGTGGGCAGGCATCTTGTCGCCGGATGGTAGCACTAGCCCCCCAGCAAGTCCGGCAGAGCCCCTGAGGCTGCTCCCTTGTCTCAAGGAGCTCTGGTCTGAGCCCTTCTGAGCGGCCCCCACAAGGCGACTCAGCCAGTGACCCCCGCCCGCCGACCACGCTGGATGGGGAGGCATCAGGGCGACGGAGTGTCCCCTGCTGCTGGAGACCCTTCCCACTGGCCTCTCCTCTGACCCTTCTAGAACGAGTTACTCTGCAAACATTCTGTAAAGCCCTAGAGCTGAGAGAAGAATGTTTCCCCGGTGATCTAGTTTGCTCCCTCCCAGCAAGCCGACGAGCTCATTTCCTGCATTATCCTGGCCGCCAGGATGGCCGGAGCACACCCTCGGTGCCGTGGTTCCCTGCCCGGCCCTGGCGCCTCTGATCCAGCTCTCTCCCCTGCTTGCCTCTTCTCTTTGATCTCATCCTCCTGGTTTTTGTTTTGTTCTCTTGATGCTTTTTATTTGTAAGCCAAAGACGTGTGTCATTTTTAAAGAAGTAGGTAGAGTAATTGTAAATGGTTTATTAAGTATGCTTTGCCTATGCAGGGATTGGGTGCCTTCTCTGGGGTGCCTAACCCCAGAGCATGGATGGCAGAGCAGGGCCCTGGCAGCCCAGGATCCGGGAGCACCACCGCGAGACTGGAGGCTCCTAGGGACAGACCCTGGCTTCCTTTCTGGGGCCGGAGCCTCACCTCTGTATCCTCTCTGCCAGGACTAGCCTCTCGACAAGGCAGTGAGCAGACAGGCCTGAGCCTGGGAACAGGTGTGGAAATCGGACTGTGTCATGCAAACCCCATCACCAAAGGGTCCCAGAGCTTGCTGAGAACCTCAGGGAGTTGGCCTATAAAGAACTTCTGCCCAGTTTGTGCCCACCCAGGGACATTTGTTTCTAACAAGAACTTCTACCCAGTTCATGGGTCTTTTTTTTAGTCAAAACTGGTTTCCACTGACTGAGTGACCATAAAGCAGACTAAACCTTTGCTCCCAGAGTATGTTCTCCTGTCCTAGACCTCCAGCTGCAGGCTGGAGCAATGTTTAATTTAATTTAATTTAATTTTCTCTTATTTATACTTATTTAAATTCAACTAGCCAACATATGGTACCTCATTAGTTTTTGATGTCATGTTCAATGATTCATTAGTTGGGTATAACACCCAGTGTGGAACAACATTTTAAATAGGTGGTTTAATCTCTCCAAATCGTAGTTTCTCTGCTTATAAAATGAAGAGACTGGACTGAAATTTCGCCATGGGGCTTACTGGCCACAGGCCTTTGAAGGGCTCACGGTAGAAGATTCTAAGATTCTAATTCTAATGCGGGATTTAGCCAGATGCAAGCAGAGATGCCCATTGCCTGGGCTTACAGCAACTGTTTTTATTGTAATGAGTCAAAATATCCTCCCCATCGCAGCCCAGGCCCCATGGGCGGCCCTCTGGTCACAGGGTGGCTGTCCTCTGCACACCTTTGTGCGGCATGGGGGGGGCTTCACCCCTCCCTCATAACTACAGCTCCACGGACCAGCAGGAAATCTCTGTTCCTGGAGACCCCTCTTGGTAATCCAGCTTGAGCAACCTGGGATGGAAAGGTGGACAGACAGAAAGATAGGTGGTCCGCAAATCTCAGGTGTGGTGGGAAGAGATGGAGACGGCTGGGGTTAGGAACGGGGAGGGTAGAGAGTCTCGGGGCCCTGAGAACTGCCTCCGGCACCGGCTAACAAGGCCCCGTCACCCAAGTGGACACCCAGCTGTGTGTGGTCCTCAGGGTCCGGGGCTCTGAGACTTCAGGAGGAGTTTCCCCCTGCCCCCCACCCCCACCCGAGTGATCTCTGGGCTGGGGTGGTTTCTGTGGGTCTGAGCTGACTGTACTTTGTGGGGTCGCTAAGACCTGGGTCAGACACATCTAAAGCATCAGCCTTTGCCCTGACTGTCTCTATTTGCTGGGCAAGGACAGAGGGGTAGGGGCCCAGCTCCCAGCCTCCCGGCTCCCCCCCGCCTTGGCCGGGCTCAGTGGCCTGCTTGCACAGAGTCACCTGGTGGCAGAGTACTCAAGGTCCTGAACCCTCAGCATTCGCTTGCTGTCATCTGCCGCTGCCGGAGGCCCCCAGAGCACATCCTGGTAAAACTGGCCTGGGACACAAAGGGCGGGTCAGCAAGGCATAAAGACAGAGAGGGAGGCTGGGAGACACACAGAGGGGAAGCCCACTGCCTGTTCACGGTAGCGGTGGCTTGTGAGGACGCCTACCGAGGGTCCCGCCAACGCGGCTGGAGAAGCGGTCGGTGTCCCGCAGAAGGAGCCGGAGCCCCTCCCCGGGGCCGTCCCAGGGTAGCAGGCCAATGGTCACTCTGTCCGGGCTGCTTAGCAGCAGGAGCCCCGCCTTGTCCATGGTCAGCTTGACGCTGCGGGGAGAGCCAGGGTCCTGAGCAGTCGGGCTGGGAGCCAGCGGGGCTGCCCGCTTGTCCCCGGGAATTTCTACTACGGCCTCCGGCGCTGAGTCCTTTCAGTCCCTTCTGGGCTTCGGTCTCCTCGTGGTAAACTGGGACCGACGGTAACTTAGATACAGCCGTTGTTTTCTTTCTCAAATAAAACAATGGCTCCTTTCCCTCCCTGGTTCTCTTAGATTTGGCTGCTCGTGAATTAGTTGGATACGATTTCGGCCGGTCTGGGTACATTTCCTCTGGCCCTTTTGTTGTTACAGCCAGTGGCGCTTCCTTCTGAGGCTTAGCGTTATTTAGGTCTGAGAAGAGCAAGGCCCTTTCCCTTCTATCCTGTCGTTTTGTTTTTTTTTTTACTTAAGATAATCTTCGAAATTCTTACCTTTTTTGTTTTCTTAGGAATGTTAGGCTCTTTTAAGCATGTTGAATAGAACCCTGCTGTTACTCTGAGGTTATTTAAATGGAATTGCCCTAAACTGACACTGTTCCAGTCATTGTACAAGACACAGTCTGTTTTCCCTTATGTGTATCTTCCGTAGCTCATGAAAGTATTCGGACTTTTTCTTACTGCAGGCGATAGGAATTCTTTATTCTACCCTCTAGCATGCAAGTCCAAGGCATAGAAATCCGGTCATTCTCTGTGCATTTATCAGATAATCGGAAACTTTAAGCTCTCTTATGAAATCGGGCCGTTTTCAGGTGAAGCCCTTGGATTTTCTAGGCATGCGCTCATTTGTCAAGTGGAAACCAGTCTCTGCTGTGGGGCAGGGAGAGGGCAGAGGGCAAGGCTCTCTGTACCCGGTACAGGCTGGGGGGTTGCAGGGCACGGCTCCAAGAGGGTCAGGGTCCTCGGCCCCACTCCCAGGCCCCTGTGACCTCCAGAGCTGGAGAGCTGCCTCTGGAAGGCTCTGTGGTGGGGCAGCCTCACCTAGAAGAGGATGCTGTCCACTTGCATCACCCACCAGCTGCCCAGTGTTTGATGCCGGGTGGACTTGTCGACCCCCGTCAGAGCTCCGGGAGCATGCTAAGGATGACATTCCTAACCTGCCCCGGGGGCCAGTGCTCTCCAGCTCATATCACTGTCATTACCTGGCCACACTGACAGCGTTGCCCCCCACGGCACCCCGTGGGCACCGCACTGTCTAATGGGCAAAGTGCTCCCGGACCACATCCTCTTACTGGATCTTCCGCCCTGCCCTCTGAGACTCAGGGCCGGGGGATTATCTCTGGTGATGAGTGAGGAAACAGGCTCAGAGGGGGTGAGCAGCCTGCCCAGGGTCACACAGGATTAGCAGCAGAGCTAGCTCCAAACCACACCGTGCCCCACCTGGGACAGTGACCCGGGTTAGGTATGAGGGCAGCCAGCCCCAGCCTAACTGCTCGGTGCCCTCCAGAGCAGGGGGGGTGGTGCAGGGCTCTCTGCGTCTCTGCTCCTCCTGTGGGCGCAGCCCGCTGCAGAAGACTCATGCCCAGCCACCCCGTCCGCAGGCCCGTGGGCTCAGGTCACCTGTCGGCACTGGCCCCAGCTAACTGATGGGGCCAGAGAGGTACCCAGACTGGGGGCGGGGGGACCCAACGGGACCCAGGCCGGGGCATACCCAGGTATCACCGAGAACAGCGTCTCCTTCCACTTGTAGGCAGAGTTTCTTCGGTTCCGGGTCACTACCACATGCTCAGGGATGGCACGGACCTGCAGCTGGGGGTTCTTGAAGGTCACCTCGATCCACGAGAACTGGGCCTTCTCTGTCTCGTACTGGGCAGTCACCTCAACCCCTGAGAGGGTCGGGGGCAGAGAGGTCAAGACCATGGCCCCAGCTGGGCGCTGGCCTGAGCGGGAGGTCCACCCAGACCCCTTCTCACCAGCTGACCTCCCCGGCTCCCTTTACCAAACACTCCCTCACACTGGGGGCTGGTTCCTACGGTCTCTCCCCTCATCCCCTGGTTTCAGATGTCTGTGGAACGACCCCCGAATCCTCAGTGATGGCCACCTTCAGATGAGCCCCCTGAGAAGGGAGATCGTGTCGGAAATCGACAAATGTTCATAAAGCTCCTGTGGCGTGCCTGGCCCGATGAGGTGCCATGGCCAAGGGCAAGATGGAAGAGGGGTGGTGCCCCCCCTCCTCTGTGAGCAAACAGACCACAGGCCTGGCGGGATGAGTGGCAGACTGCGTGGACCTGGGAGGAAAGAGGGAGCCGTACATTCTCATTGACTCTGGCCGGCTCTGCAGGCGAGCGTGAGCATCCCTGAGTGCTGCGCCTCCTTGCATCTGACCCGACACTCAGGTTCAACCAGTAAGACTGTTCTGGGGGTTGGGGGTGCAGGCCTGGCCAGCACACACCTACCTCCTCCCACCATTCACCGCCTCCACACCCTCCACAATCCCACCAGCACCTTCCAGGGCTCTGCTTCTGCCTGCCCCTTCCTCCGCCCAGTGGACCCCTACTTGTCTGCCAAGGCCTAGTCACTCCTATGTGACCCTGTGCAGCCACCCCTGCTCCCCGGACAGCTCTTGTCTCCTCCTCTGGGTTTGCTTCCATGTCACTCTGGGCACTGACTATAGGCCACTGAGCTTATCTGTGCCCAAGTCTGTCTCCCCACCCCCGGAGTATGGCAGTGCCTGGGGGCAAGTCCACGTCTGGTCACCCTGGAGTGCCCAGGCCACCCCAACCTGCGTATGTGGTGCTCAGGGACGTGGCCATGCCGGGATCTGGGATGCGCCTGCATGGGGCAAGTTGTGTCTCCATGGGCAGGTGTGTCATCGTTGTCTCTGGGGTAGTAAGTCGGGAGTCAGTGGTGTCTGGGTCTCTCTGGGTGGATGACTGGATGTGCACGTCTCACCTTGGTCAGGGTCTGAGAGCAGGTTCATCGGCCCCTGAGAGTGCTTGATGTCCACACAGAGGCGGTCCACGCTCTGTCCGGGCAGCATCAGGATGACGGCAGGCGCCTGGATGGGGGCTGGGACAGCAGCTGTGGTTCCTAGGGTAGGTAGAGCAGGCTGGGAGACAAGGACAAGGCGGGGACCAGGCCTAAGGGAGGCTGGCAACAGACCTGGGGGTGAGGTTGTCTTGGCTGATTCTGAAAGAAGAAAGAGTCCGGGTTTAGGAGTCCCTTCCCAAGGAGCGGGGTGGGGGGCGGTGAGAGACAGAGACATGGATGTGTGGTTAGGGCTCCCTCTCGACCTCAATGGGAAACCCACGTGACAAGTCTGTAGAGCTCCCCGAGGCTTTCCTCTCCCAGATTCTCCCTGTTACAGGGTCTGAAGCTACTGCAGGGACTCTGGCCTGGGGGGCATCTTTGGCTCTTAAATCCACACCACGAAACACTTCGTCAGGAATGGAGGGGGCTGATGGTGCCGAAGCAGGCATTGGTGCAGGGCCAGAAACGGAAAGGAAGAGGGCAGTCAGGACTGAGAGCAATCAGCACGCCCTCCAGCTATCATCAGCGCCACCCGCCCCCCACCCAGCCCCGCAACCCCGGTCACACCCACACCCAACTTAGGAGAGCCTTTGTAATGAGATTTCCAAACAGGAGAGTGTGCTAGTAGGGAAAATGGAGAGGACACAGGGTCTAGCCTGGCTCTGTGCTGTTTCTGAGTCCAGACCTGGAGATCAGAAACAGCTCAAGGGTCCACTGCTGGCTTTGGACATGGAGGAAGACATCCCTTTCTAGAAGGTTCCATCCTGAGCCAGCCTCCAGAGTGTAATGAATCCAATTCAGTGAAAATAAAGGACACATGACATCATGTCATGCCCCACAGCAACTCTCCCTGGTTTGTGCCCAGCCCTGTGCTTTGTGCTTTACCTCACTAACTCTAGGGCCATGTTTAATGATCATCTTGAGAAAATTAGACCCTCAGAGGGTCAGAAAGTGGCTTACCTAACAACATGTCCGGTAGCAGTGATTTTCCAGCCATAAGTGGGTAAGGATGAGGAGAATTAAGAGGTCCTTGTGGTCCGGCTCTCCATAAGTCACTAGGTGTCTTCCCAGAAGCTCCAGCTTTGGAAAAGTTGACACATGCAGCCTTCTCTCAAGCAGTGTCATGGCGCCCCATGGCCGGGGCTCTGGGACCCAGGTCAGGAGAGGGATGTGGAGAGGGCAGATGGCTCCCCTCCCTAGGCTCATCACTCTGGGAGCCTGTCCCTCCATGGCCAGGAGAAGTTCAGCGTGGGAACGATGGACCCTTCTTGAGCCCCCCACCCCCGTCCCTGGGATATGAGCGCCCCGCCCCTGCCCCTGACTCAGACTACCTTGTCCTCTACAGCCTTGTCTTTGGGTGAGGACAGGGTCTGTATAGATGCCTCCTAATCAGATATAACTGGACCTGAGTCCCAGCCCTGCCAACCAGCCAGGTCAGCCGGGCAAGTCATTCCCGCAACAACCAGGGCAGAGCCTAGTCTGTGTCTGGGGTTAAGGTCCTGTCACTCTCCCCTCCCCCTCCCCCTCCCTCCTTTGCCACCTGTTATTCTGGACCTTCTGTCTCCAGCGGTACGAAATCTAGACAGTGGACCACCTGGAAATCAGAGGGACCTGGATTAGCTTCTGGGATATACTTTTTTGGGGTCCCCAGCTGACCAGGGATTGTGTCCCTAAGTGCCCAGGACAGGGTCTGAGTAGCAGCAACCTCGTGGGGCTGGGGCCTTAAACCCTGTGTCAGCCAACCATCCCCCCGGCCCAGCCTTTGAAGGAATCAGGCCCTTACCTAAGTAGAAGTTCTTGTGTTTGTTTTCTGGATAAAACAAAAAGAGAGAAAAGGAAATACACTGTTAGAGTGGTTTCCACAAGTTCAAAGTGCTTCTGTTTAACCTTGCTTCCCAACCCCAGCACTGAATAAGTGCGGTGAACTCTGGGGTCAGGAGACCTGGCCTCAGCTTCCTCATCAATGAGATGGGATGAGTGTCCGGGGGATCCTGGGAAACTAGGGATGGCTGGGTCGGGGACTTGCTGGGGACACGGGAAAGGCTCTGGAGGACGCTAGGTCAAAACTGTGCTGCCGAGGAGGCTGGGGTCCTCCTCTCACACCTACTGGTTTCCACAGGCTTCTCAGCAACTTCAGACCATTCTTTGCCTTCAGGTTTGGTGACCACCATGGACGTGAGGGGAGTGACAAAGCAATACTGGAGCGACAAGTTCAGAGCTCGGGTCTCGAGGGCCTGCTTCTCAGCATCGGATGCCGAAACCCTGCAGGTGGGGGATATCAGAGGCTCAGCGGGTCCCCCCCAGATGCTTAGTCAGATTCTCCCTCCCTTCCAGACCCTTCTGGGAGGTTCCCACTGGGAGAGTCTGGAGCTCACCCACGATGCCACTAGCCTCTCTCTCTATGCCCGGGAGATACCCCGGGCCAGCTGCACCTGCCCCCCACCCCGGGGAAAGCTTGGGAAGGTGCTTGGGCTGTGTGTGGCTGCCCCAGCGGGCCCTCGAGGGTGTGGGCCACCCACATTTGCTCCAGCAGTTGCTGGATGGTTAAGTATGCCCAGAGTCTCTCCATGAAGCTGTGGAAGATGTACTTGGGGCTCTGGAACTCCTTCTCCTGCTCCGCCACGCTGGACTCCGTTTGGAAGGTGATGTTCTGCATGTGCTGGAAAGAGGGGCCCAGCCCGGGCAGGGGCAGTTGAGGGCCCCTCCAAGGCCAACATGGCAGGCACAGAGCCGGGAACTCAGGTCAGACCGACCCTTCCAGAGAAAGGGAAATGAGAATGGGATCCGAACCCCTGGCCAGGGTAGAAACAGCAGCGGGAAGGAAGGGCAAGTGCAGTGTAGGGGCAGAAAGGGGCCCCAGAGGCATTCCACACTCATCCCAAAGATGGAGACTCTGGGGACAAAGAGAGAAGAGCCTTCTCTAGATGTCAGTGGCAGCGCTGAGAAGGGAACTCAGGTGTCATGGCCCTGATAGGGCTTGGGGCCCCATCCGCCCCAACCAGCAATCCCCTGCCCAAGCTGGTGCCCTCTGGGTGCAGCGGGATGGTGGCAGTAAGGTGGATGCCAAGCTCTGGGTGGACTGCTGCTTCCTTCTCCAGGCCTTCTGGGGAGAGGCCATAGGTAGGACTTTGGTTTGAACCCAGCCTGCTGCTCCCTGGTTGTGTGATGATTTACCCGCATTGTCTCTCCCGAGAGGACAGTATCCCCAGGGCCTAGAGAAGGACCTACAGCAGAGCAGGTGCTGTTTCTCTCCGTGGAGTGAGAGGGCCTCCCGTGGCACAGAGGCAGTGACAGGGCGCCACGAGGGGAGCTGGGCTCTTGACCTGGCTGCTTTGGGGCCCGAGGCAAGTTGCCTGCCCTGCCTGGACCTCAGGCTGCTCCTCTGCGAAAGGGGAGCAGTCCCCCTGGCCGACCACAGCCTCCGAGGGCCGGTGTGAGGCCAGGAGGGCATGCCAAGTACCTGGTGCTCTCAGGACCAGCAGCAGCACAGACAGACTGCTAAGTGTCATCTCTAAGTGGCAGAGGGCACGGTATGACTTGTGCAAGGTCAGTCGCTGGAGCCCTGCCAGGTTGGCATTTGAACCCAGCCCCTCTGACTGCCTGCCCCGGCTGCCCCTCCCCTGCAGAGGGGCTGGCCACACTCACCAGCTGCCCCCTGACTTTGGCTGAGAGCACATCGGGGCTCTGGTCCCGGAGCTTGCCGGCCACGACGATCTCGGAGCCTTTGAAGAGCAGCCGGAAGTTGTCCCGCGAGACCTTCTCCACCGCATTGCTGGGGTACTCAAAGGTCACTGCTGTCAGCAGTGGGTTGGCCACCTCCTGGTAGAAGTCCTGCAAGGTGGGGGGTGTCACGAGTGCCGGGCCGGGCTCCGCCCACCTCACCCAGGCGGCGCACCCGGGACCCTCTGGCACCTGCAGCTGCAGGGTGGAGTCCGAGTCCTCATAGATGCGCCGAGTCAGGCCGCCGTTGTCTAGCGCCAGCTTCTCTAGGAAGGCAAAGCTGACATCGAAGCCAAAGCCCAAGCAGAAGAGGCTGTACTGGCCATCTATAGCTTCCTTCACGTTCTTCTGTATCCTTGCAGGGTTGGTCTCCCCTGGACCCAGCGGTGTGGGAAGGGGGAGTGAAGAAAGTGATTTGTTCAAAGATACCTCTGGGATCTCAGAGCCAGAGGGGCCTCAGATACGCCCCCCACCCCAGCCTCGGGTCCCACGGCAAGCCAGGGAGAACCCCAGCTGTCCCCCCTCCAGGGCAGCGTGTCCCGGAGTGGCTGGCGGTGCCCTCACCCATGGTGGGGTCGCCGTCGGTGAGCAGGATGATGAGGGAGACGCTCCCCTCTGGAAGCAGCTCCTTCTGGTTGGCACTGTCCAGCAGCTGCACGGCCATCAGCATCGCGTCGTTGATGTTGGTCCCTGGGGGGCACATAGTCTCAGGGTGGTGGCTTCCAGCCCGGCTGCCCAGGCTGGGCTCGCTGCACCAGAAGCCCCCACGCTGCAGGGCCCCAGAGGCGCTCACCTCCTTGGGTCTGGATGCTGGCAGCATAGCTCCTGGCCTGGTTCACGTTCTCGGCTGAGGCCGGCACCAGCAAGGGCTTCCACTGGGCCGCCTCCCCGCTGAAGCTGACAAGATTGAACTGGTCGTTGGGGCTGAGGTCATCCAGGATCTTGATTAAGGCTTCCCGGGTCTGGGCAGGAGGGTGGGAGACTCAGGCGGGTGTCTGAGTGGGGCCTCCCTGGGGCTCATGTGTACTTGGGCTGGCATCTGCAGGCTCCCATGGTCAATGCTCTCGGGGCAGGCACTGCCCACACTGTGGCCAATCTCAACCCCTGGGTGCCCCTTACCCAGGAAGATGGAGGGGGGAGAATGCCTCCTAGACCAGAGCCAATGGCGTTAGGCATGTGTGAGATTCCAGGGCTGTGCCCTTAGCCAGAGGGACCCACCTGCTGGATCTTCCTGCCTCTCATGGAGCCGCTTTTGTCAATGACAAAGATCACATTCTTGGGTATGGTGGGCAGGCCTTCAGGGGCAAAGTAGTGCACAAAGTAGCCACTCTCGATCTGTGATCAGAGTGAAACAAACCCAGGTAATAAGAGCTGCAGCCCTGCCCTGCCCCGACCAGCCTTCTCACCCTAATCCTTGGGTTCCTCTCTTCACACAGCCCCCTCTGTCTCTGTTCCACTGCTGACCTCCCAAATCTTCACCGTCTTTGACGGCTCAGTCCAGCCCCTCTCTTGCCTTCCCTGCTCACACATGGTCCACTAGAACTCTACTCCCACTTTATCTCCTATTTGTTTTAGCATTTGAGGCAACTTATCACAAAAAGTTCAGATGTTCTAAGCCTGAAATCCATCAAAAGACTAAAGACTTTAAAAAACAAGGTCCATCAAAGGTCAAAAGGGAAAGCACAATGATGCCAGGAACTTGTGTGAAAGAAGCTACTGCCATTGAGCATAAAACTGAACTGTGAGCCTCCTGGCAGCCAAGGCAATAAGGGAAATCCTACAGGGCATCTCTTTAGCAGAGGTGAAACTTCTGTGCCTCCAAGAGAAAATTGTTTCAGGGACAACATAACAAAATTACTTGTTTTCGGTCTGTGCTGCCACTGGTTCACCCCGATAAGTAGGGGCAGTTATTTTGCATTTCCTTCTAGAACATACAAGCTCGGGCCCTTTCCTGGTTGCCCTACTCTCGCCTTAGAGCCCACACACCTGAATGGAGCCCCCGGAGACGGTCCGGTGCACATCGTAGCGGACGATGAAGTTGCCATCCAGGACTGTGTCCTGCTGCCCTGGTGACTTTTGCTGGGAGAGTGTGGGCTTGAATTGGATGTGAGCCTGGGGAAGGACGGGCTGGAGTTGGGAGGAGCCCCGTGGCCACCCCCACCCCCTCTGAAGCAAGAATTCCAGGATGCAGCCTTGGGCCACAGTCCAGGGAACATTCTCTGAGGCCAAGCTGTTGGAGAGACTGCCTCCATACAGGGGAGTGGGAGCTGTGTGAGCAGAGGCTGGGCTCAGTTTGCGCAGGATCCAGCTGGTGACCCCTCCCCGCTGTGGGTCCCTCACCCCAGCTCCTCCCCATGGCCTTCTCCCCATCTCAGCCTTCACGCCAGCACCCAGCAGCCTTCTCTAGGCCTTGCCCTCCACCTCAGCCAAGTGGCAGCATGAACACAGACCTCCAAAGTCCCTCCAGCTCAGAGAGTCTGCCCATTTGTCCCGCTCTCTGGATAGACTCATACGGCTGGCCTGACAACAGGCCCCTGGGGACCCTTGCCCGCCGACCGAGGCAGGCCCACCTTGGTCTTGTTCTGCGAGACGTTGAGGGCGTCTGCCAGTTCGTTGGTCATGAAGGTGCTCTCTGTCTCCAGAAAGCTGATGCCCTGAGGCTCGAAGATGTGAATGTCCATCTGGAGACAAGGAGTGGGTCACTCGGTCGCCCAGAGTAGGGGCTGGGCCTCACAAGAGGCAGAGAGGGAAGGAGGGGCTGCCCTCAGCAGAGCAGGTGTCTTCCTGGAGCAGCCCCCACCCACACCGGGGAGCAGGCGGTGCCGGTACCTGCAGGTGCTTGACCAGCTGCCGGGGCTGGACTTTCAGCAGCAGCTCATATGCTCCCAGATGCCGCTGGAGCAGCTCCTCATACACCAGCTCAAAGGTGACCTTGGCAGCGGGAGCCACACTGACCGACACCTGGAACTGCTCCGTCTTTCTTCCGCTGGCCCTGGGGGAGGAGAGCAGCAGGTCTGCCCCTCCAGGCCAGGCAGGGTATGGCCACTGGAGGCCGGAGGGGTCTGCAGGGCTGAAGGCAGGGGCAGCCTCCACCCCCCCCCGGGGTCCCTCCCACCACCCTCTTTGGCTCACTTGACGAGGCCAGCGCTCTCGCCCCTGGCCACAGCCGCGCTGTACTGTTCCTGGGCTGCAGCCTTCTCCTTGATGTTCCCTGGGTAGGTCACACCTCCGATGACCCTGGGGCAGGACGGCAGGTGTTGTGGAGGGCCTGATAGGAGCTGCCCACTCCAATCCCACCTCCTCCAGGGAGCCTCCCTGAACTTGGTGTGCCTCTTAACAGGTCGACTCCTGTCTTTGCCTGAGCCCGCCCATTTCTTTCTTTCTTTCTTTCTTCTTCTTATTTTTTAAAGATTTTATTTATTTAATTGTCAGAGAGAGAGAGAGAAGGCAGAAGCAGGGGGAACGGCAGGCGGAGGTAGAAGCAAACGCCCTGCTGAGCAGGGAGCCTGAGGCGGGGCTCGATTCCAGGCCCCCGGGGTCATGACCTGAGCTGAAGGCAGACACTTAACCGACTGAGCCACCCGGGCGCCCAGCCTACTCACTTATTATGTACTTACTGTATACAAGACTCTGGGCAGGGCCCCGGATGAGGGTGGTGGGCCTCTGCGAGCTATGCTAGGCTTCTGTCTACCCTGCGGCACGCACAGTGTTGGTAAACATGCATTTACTGAACAGCCTGGGGAGGAAGGTCGCGGGGGAGGCAGGGCTGAGGTAAAGCCTGGCCTCCACCCTTGCAGTCTGGCCCCGCATTCCGGCTTGCCCGGGCTACCTCACAGCCTGCTCCCAGAGGAACTGGTCAGTCACCAGCGAGCACTTTCCGGGGCGCACGTGTGCCCACCCTTGTGTGCAGGTGTGTGGGCAGCCGGAGGAGGAGCGGGGTGCTGGGCCCCCAGGCCAGTGGGAAACGCAGGTCTGAGAGGCTCTGACCCCTCTCCCTGCAGCTGTCCCCTTGTCCTGCCAGCACACGGCAGGGCCCTCTGCACAGAGCGGGGCCTCTGGGGAAGTAGGTTTTGGACAACTGGTGCCCAGGAGCCCCAGGGGTGTGGACACAATCCTAATGGCTATTCTTTGGGACTAGAAGGAACTGCCAGGGCTTTTCCTCTGGAAGGAGAAGACCCGCTCCAGACCCTCCTTGTGAGGTGAGCAGGGACGTGTCAGCGAACCTACGCTTGGTCCACCTGGGGGGCCTGAAAGGGTGAGAGTGGGCAGGGGTGGGCGGGGAGGGTGTAGCTAGGGCATTAGGACCCAGTGTCCCACCTTCCTGACCTTCCCGGTCACCATTTAACTCTGGGCGAGGGATGCAATGCGGCTGCTGAGTGGGCCATAGGGCTCCTCCTCCCGGATGCCCAGCTGAGGCTCACCGTCAGGCCAGAGAGCAGGGCATCCTGCCCCCTGCTTCCCCATCTCCTGCAGCAACACCATCTGGACCCAGAGAGGAGTGCAGGCCCTGGGCTCTCAGCACATGCCACGTGTCCAGAAGCTGGCCGCCTTCTGGTCTTGGCCCCCTGTCGGAGGCTGGGGGTACCCTGCAGCGCTCAGACTGCAAGTTGGGCAGCACAGGCCTGGCTCCAGGATTAGGAGAAGCAGGGGGCTGCTGACGGGGGTGGCAGGGAGCGAGGAAGAAGCCGAACACAGGGACCCAGGCCCCACCGCAGTTATTTCAGAGGTCTCAGGGTAGTTTGGGGACCCCGGCCGAGAGAAGCTTGCTCTGAGCCCCGTCCATTGCCCTCCCTCAGTTGCTGGGATCAGCGTCTCTCTGGCCTGCCCTCAATCACTGCCTCTCTCGTGGGGCCAGGGACAGACGGGGAGGGTTCTCAGGCATTTAGCAAACATTGCAAAAGAGTTCGGAAGGGTGGGGGAGGACAGTAGAGGACAAGGTGAGGAGCAGCCTGGAGCCACAGAGTCCACAGAAATCCCAGGGGCCTCCCCGTGCGGCCTCGGGCCCAGAGCAGAAAGGCCCTCTGCTGTGTCCCAAGAGGGAGGGGACGAGCTGGCTTAGAACTTCCTGTGACAGAGATCGCCCTCCTCCAGGCATTGCTCCATTGTGGGGCAGCCCAGGAGTTAGGAAGTCATCTGTATTCTGAGCTGGACTCTGCCTTTTGTGACTCCCTCCTGCCTGGGCCTGGCCTCAGGATGCCCCAACTCTACTCTTCGGAGGAAAAGACACCAAGATGCTGTGGTTCTCCATCTGTCACCTGGGCAGGTTGGGGGATGGTGGATGGCGGGAGGGATGAATGGAAGCGTGGGTGGAGGGAGGGAGGGAGAGAGAGACGGAAGTAAGGATGAAGGGAGAGAGGAAGGGAGGTAGGGACGGCCGGCAGGAGGGATGGACGGGTGGAGGATGGAGGGATGGAACGTCTCTGAGAACGCATGAAGTTCATGGGTAAAGCCTTTGGTTCCTTATATTGCCTACAGGCAGAGCACACACGCCTAAGGCATCCACCCTGGCTCACCTCACATCAGGAAGAGGGTCGCTCTTCCCGACAGGGTGTCACCAGGGCAGATGGTGTCATGGTGCTGGGTTGAGGAAGGTCGGGGAAGAGGGCAGGAAGGCACCTACATGGAGAAGTTGGTGATGAAGGCTCTCTTGGGCAGCTCCACCTGGAAGGTGGCCTCCTGCATAATATTGGCCCTGTTGACCACCCTGCTGGTGACGACTGTGTGGGCAAATCTGGACGAGACCTTGGAGTCCACGGTGAGGCTGTAGATGTTGATGCCATTCTGGACCAGTGAAGGGGGAGGGGTGGGACTGTTTGAATGCCACCCCAGCTTGAGACAGCACTCTTTAAGAGGGGGCCCTGCCCTTGGTCCCCGACACCGACTGAACCACTGACCAAGCCCCCGGCCAAACCCCATGAGGCATTTCACATGTGAACACTGGTCTCACAGCAGAGGGAGCTGCGTGCTTCGTCCCCCACCCTTCAGCGTGTTCCGGGAGGTGACTGTCACTTTCTCCTCGGGCGGGGGGCCCTAGCAGGGTCAGGCAGCTTCACATTTGATCTTAGCTCTGCCTGGTGAAAGGGCAGTGAACAAGTTCTGCGATTTCTGGTGCCCTCGGCCTCCATGGAGACTGGGAAAAGCAGCTCTTGCCTCTCTCCCACCAGGTGCTTACAGGAGCTGGGAGAACGTGGAGGAGATGGGGGGCCCAGTCTCTAATTACTGGGAGCCTTCCTCTTTGCCCCCCTTGACCCTGCAGCCCTGGACCCTCCCCAGGTAAACGCTCTTCTTCTCCAGGTCTGCGGGTCCCCAGAAAGGACATGTGCCCGCCTGCAGCCTTGCACACCTGCTCTCTGCACATGGCATGTTCAGGCGCATGCGCGGCTTAGCACCGAGGCCGGGTGGCTCATGGAGTGTCTGCTTGGTGGCAGACATTGGACGAAGTTCTTTCTAGATCTTTACAGGTTTGATCTTCAGGACAAAGCTCTGAATAGCTTTTCTTTTTGCCGTTTTACAGATGAGGAAACAGACACCAAAAGCGTAAATAACTCTTGCGCAGCCACTCAGCCAGGGAGAGGGAGAGGCGGGCTCCCGAAGCCCATTCTCGCCCAGCCCACCCCCTGCTGGCCCCTGGCGGCAGCTCGCTGGGCCGCATCGCCTCCCCGTAAAGCGGGAGCGGGGTCTCCCTTCTGTTAAATGGGAGAGCATCCAGACAGCGCCCAGGCTAGTGCCTGGCTGCCAGTTGGCACCCCGTCTTCGCGCACGCACTGGGCCACGCTCGTCCGGCCGCACGTGCTCGCACACACACACGCTCTCCTTGTCAGTCGGCTCGCGCCACCCCCGCTCGGGCACCCGCGGACACCCCTTACCTTCTGGGTGGCCGCTGTGGGGGGGGCGGCCAGCAGCAAGAACAGCACCGGCGCGAGGCCACAGGGGCGGCCAGGGGCCGAAGCCTTCATTTGGCCTCCAGTGCCTGGCAGGTTGCTTCTGAACTTGGGAGGATGTGGGGAATGAATTAGTAACATGCTCATGGTCCCGCCCCTCCGGGGGCGGCTTCTGGGAAGTTGGGATCTCCAAGCCAAAAACTGCAGTAGCCTCAGCTAAGCAAACCATGAATGTCCCGTGGACCTTGGCTGGGGATAGGAACACGCAGTGAGGAGAGGCAGGCTCAGGTGGGAAGTGGGTATGGCACTCCCTCTAAAAAGTCCAGAATCATCCCAGGCCGCTACCAACCCCTCACACCAGCCCTTCCACCGGCGGGCTCCCTAGGTCTGGGAGACACAACAGTGAACCAGCCTGCTCTGCGTAAGCCCAGCCTGGGAAGGAACAGTGTAGCCCAGACCAAGGGGGGCTAGGGAGAGGCTTCCGGGAGGGGGCAGTGGGGGCCCGAACTGAGCAGCCATCTGGGTGTCTGACTGGGGCAAGATCTGCTGGGGTCGGGGCAGGACGGAGAACCCTTGTTTCTGGGGTGACAGGGACTGGGCCCAGGAGTCCTCTTCTCTGCCTTTGGGTCCCAGGCTGCTGTCGGGCCCCATTAATCTAGCTAGGGCTCTTGGCTCAACTCCAGCAAGGCCCCCAGAACGAGACCCGCACTTTGGCAATAGCAACCGAGAGCCATAAAGATGCCCACACCTTGAGGCCCAGAGGTCTCCCTCCAGGGAATTTATTGAGAGGAAAGCATGGAACTAACGGTGTGGTGGTGTGTGCACTCGGCGGCCCACAGGGGTCAGTCATGCCAAGGGAGCCCGTGAGTCACGGCTAGCGTGAGAATGTGGAGGCAGCAGCACGCCGAGGCGGTGCCACTGTCGGGGGCCAGGCCGGTGCGAGTGCACCGGACGGCCTGGGCTAGGATTACCGGTAACTCTTCTCAATTACCCTTTAGTAAACTTGAAATGCCTTTGTAACAAACAGCAACGAAGTGAATAAATACTGAGGGATCTGGATGAAACTGGTGCTTTGTCCCTGGCGGTTCTGGGAAAGCCCAGCTCCTGGGTCTGGCCACAGATAAGGTCGAGTTGCTTCAGCAGTGTGGCCAGGTGCCAAACCCTGGGTCGAGGAAGGAGGATGGCTTGGTGACACTGGTTGGGGTGGGGAGCAGCCATGTTGGGGGCCCACACAAGGATCTGAGGCAGTGACTGGCCGCCAGGGGTCTCCTCCATCAAGGCCAGCAGCATCCAGCCCGGGGGAAAGGGCGGCAGAGACTTGGGTGCTGTGTCTCTGGCTGCGAGTAAATGTTCCCCTTCTTTAGCACACCTGCAGCCAGGAGCATCTCTATGCACGTCTATACTGCTTGCCCTTTGGCTCTGAATAAGGTTGGGATCATATGGGGCTTCACACCCCTTCGGCAATCTGGAAAGAGCCTCCTCAGGGAGCCCAGTGGCCAGGCCCAGGCCCCGTCCCACCGGAGGTCTGCTCCTTGGGGCACAGAGCACAGGCCCAGCCTAGAAGCAGCCATATAAGGAGGCCGGGCTGGCTGAGAACGTGGGAAAGGCTCGAAGCAGCCAGCCCCACCTGCCCAGGGGACCGGCCAGCTTCCCTGCCGACAGCAGCGCTGAGTCGGGTGCCGCAAGGCCCAGCCCTGCTGGTCCAGCCTGGGACTCTGCCCGTGGTTTTGCCATCACAGGGGGATGGGCCTCTGCAGGCCCAGATCTGACAGCTCCATGCACACAGGGGACACTGAAGCCTTGTGAGCCAAGGGCCTGGAGTTCCCATGATGCAGGCAGAGCTGTGGGAGTGGCAAGGGGGAGGCTCACCCTGGCTGTGGGACAACAGCTCAGGAGGCGGCCTACCACTGGCCAGAGAGGGGCCTCGATCTGGCTTTGTCTTTGAGGGGTATGAGCCGGCAAGGAGGTAGTGCAAACAGGGGTGCGGGGGGAAGGGGCTTGGAGGTCCCCGGTCTGGCAGGGCCTTGGAGGACCTGGAAGCATCTTGATGGTTTCTGCCGAAGGCAGGCAGAGGGGTGAGCCTCGGGTCCCCACCTGCTTCACCCTGAGCAGTGTTCCTGTGGCCCTTGTCAGACAGGAGGGGAAACCGAGGCTCAGAAAGGGAGAGACTGGTTTGAAGTCACACAGGAGCTCAGCACCAGGCCTCCACGTCCAAGGCTCTTTCTAGCATGTGGCAGTAGCCATAATAGCACCTGCCTTACCCTCTCGGACCTCCCAAAAGCCCACGAAGGGTGAGGAACATGCCCCACACCCTAACCTGCCTGCCCCTCCCCTACACTTAGTGGCCATGGCCGGGGACCAACTAATAGCCTACAAATGCTGGGGCCACGTGGGCATGCTCTTTATTGGTGTTCCCCGGGTGCTGGTGCAGAGTCCCTGAGCCGAGGGGCCAGGGCTGTGAGGGGCGGGTGGCTGTCCCACAGGCAGCAGGTGAGAGGGTGCATTCTGGCATAAAAAAGTTTTGGGGGAAGGCTCCTGCGTCCGGGAGTTGGCAGCGGCAAGAGGAATGGGGTGCACGTCTCAGCCAAAGATGCTCTTGGCAGGTCCGGCTTTGGGCTTCTCGAAGACGGTCTCAGTGCCGGTCCGGTTGCCGCTGAACACGGACGGGGCGGTGGAGCCGGCTCGTTCTGTGGGGAAGATGGGGAGGCGGCGGAAGGGCATTCATGGGGGGTGCCCCCCTGAGCTCAAGAGCTCTGGACTCTCAGGAAATGACCCTGGGACCCCTCACCCCGTCCCACCGCCCCCCCCGGCCCCGACAGCCATCCACGCCCTCCACCCCCACTGCCCGGGAAGTTACTCACCACACTCCCGCATGACCTGGTAGGTCTTGGACTTGATCTCCTGGTTCTTGGCTAGGTTTCCACGGGCCCCCTTCAGATCTTCCTCCTTCACTGGGGGGCGCTTCTTCTTGATGGGCGCCTCCTGAGCACCAGCCTTGAAGAGCCCAGAGCCTCTTACAACCCCAGGCCTTGAGGCTGAAAGCCCCTTCCCACCTCTGTGCCTTGGTCCTGAGATCCCTCTTCACTGGTCACTGAGCTCAAGCCAATTGAAGGCGCCACTCCTCCTCCAGGAAGCCTTCCCAGCTGTACTCCACCACCCACCCCCAAGTCTCTCTGTCCTTCTCCCACAGACTGGGAGCTCGGGGACTGTGGCCTCATACTGTCTGCCTGGCCAGGCTCAGGCCTGGGCACAAAGGGCAAAGGGGAAAGGGACTGGTTTTGAGGTGGATTTCAAGGGGTGAATTCCACGACCTGCTCACTGGGTGGCAACAGGTCCCTTAGAGCCTGCCTTTCTCTCTCCCCAACTGCCCGCATTTATCTTGTGTGTTTTGGGGGTGGGAATAGGGTAGTAGAATCAGATACCCATGAAGTCAGTCTGAAGTTGAGCACCCACCCACAGAGCAGGCAGCAAGGAGAGCTCTCCACTTAGCCTGCTACTCTGTCTGTTCCTCCAGTACTAGGGATATTCAGACTCCGTGCTTATCCTGGCAGCCCCAGGCGCCCACGAGTCTGAGGCCTCACTCCTTCCTAAGCCCTGGGGACAGGTGCAGGGAATTCCTGGTCCCTGAGCCTGGGCTGGGTTCCTGGGGCAACAGGCTGCACCCCTTGCACAGAGATCTGTCCTGCTGGGGCGATGCCCAGGCAGAACCGTGTACCTACAGATCCAGCCTCACGAGTATGTATGTACATACACACACACACACACAAACGAGTCATACAGTCAGCTTCCTCCGCACAAAAGCATACGCAGAGACTCGAAGTACCCTACATGTCGTCTCTAGCCTCCGGGCAAACCAGGGAATACCACCGAACCCAAGATAAATAGGGGTTTGTCAGCAAGCTCGGGCCAGGGGATGCCCTCCCTGGGCCCTGGCCGTTCAGGGGCTGCAGAGACTCCTGTTTACACCTGGAGTTCAGCTCAAGACAGGACCGTCAGAGAGGACAGTGTCCAGGTTCCCATCCCCGCCCCCGCCCCCACACAGCCGGCACCGGGCCCTCCTACCTGGGACATGGTGGGTTCCCTGCTCCTCTGGCAGACACGGAAACCGGTGGAAGAAATCAGAGCTGCGCCAGCCCTCTGGGGCTTATATAGTCCCCTTGCCTGTCCCGGCAAGCCACTCCCCTCCTTGTCGGGCGACCCGATGATTCAGGTCCATACGGTCTCTGGCTTCAGAGTTTATTCTTAGAGATGAGAGGGGCTGGCTGAGCACTGCTGCCTGGGGGGCTGTGGCCTGGTGAAAGCCGGTGATGGGGGAGGCCCGGTGCCCCCAGCAACAGCTGCTCTAGGCCAGCAGGGGGGGCCGGGCCTGGC